TTTTGCCATCCAAGGCTATAGAACCCGACCTGTCTTTCTATTTACCCCATAGCTGGTGGGAGAAGAAATGAATTCATAACTTTCCAAAGGGTATTGACTGGAATTCGAACTTAATCAAACGTTCCTCCTCCTGACTCTACAACACATCCTCCTCCGTCTACCTTGCCTCCTCCTTACTCTACCGTGACTCCTTTTTACTCTACCGTGCATCATCCTGACTCTACCGCACCCACCCTTACTCTACCGTGCCTCCTCCTTACTTTACCGTGATTCCTACTTACTTTACCGTGCCTCCTCCTTACTCTACAGCGCCTCCTACTTACCTTACCGTGCCTCCTTCTTACTCTACCGTGCCTCCTCCTTACACTCCCGTGCCTCCTCCTTACCTTACCGTGCCTCCTTCTTACTCTACTGTGCCTCCTCCTTAGACTCCCGTGTCTCCTCCTTACTCTACTGTGCCTCCTCCTTATTCTACCGCGCCTCCTTCTTACTCTCCGCGCCTCCTTCTTACTCTACCGCGCCTCCTGCTTACCTTACCGTGCCTCCTTCTTACTCTACCGCGCCTCCTCCTTACTCTCCCGTGCCTCCTCCTTACTCTACTCTGCCTCCTTCTTACTCTACCCCGCCTCCTCTTTATTCTAACGCACCTCCTCCTTACCTTATCGTGCCTCCTCCTTACGTTACCGTGCCTCCTCCTTACACTCCCGTGTCTCCTCCTTACTCTACTGTACTCCCTACTTACACTCCCGTGTCTCCTCCTTACTCTACTGTGCCTCCTTCTTACTCTACCGCGCCTCCTGCTTACCTTACCCTGCCTCCTTCTTACTCTACCATTCCTCCTGCTTACACTCCCGTGGCTCCTCCTTACTCTACTGTGCCTTCTTCTTACTCTACCGCGCATCCTCCTTACACTCCCGTGCCTCCTTCTTACTCTACCATTCCTCCTGCTTACACTCCCGTGGCTCCTCCTTACTCTACCGTGCCTCCTTCTTACTCTACCGTGCCGCATCCTTACTCTAACCCACCTTCCTCTTACTCTACCGTGCCTCCTTCTTACTCTACCGTGCATCCTTCTTAGTTTAACCCACCTTCCCCTTACTCGAACCTGCCTCCTCCTTACTCTACCGTGTCTCATCCAAAAAGAATATAAATATTCATAAAGAATAGATTAAGAACAATCAAGTATTGTACGTGCTTAGTTTTATTTTAAATCGTTATTTTTATACGATTTCACACTAACATCCAAAAGGCAGTTTCATACGAACAGAAGATAAACCTGTGTGCGTGCGTTGGAGGAATACAACAGGTGTTCTTTCTGGAGGGATATCTCGCACTATATGTGCATACGTGATTAAATGAAGTAGGTGGTGGTTGTTAGATTCGTGTGTGTTTTTTTTTTATTAAAAACTCTGCTTGACTGACAATAGCGATGAACTATCACATGAACCTCTTCACTAATTAGAAACAAAGGGGGTGTAACTAAAGGAATGAAGGAAAAGATGGCTTAAATCAAAAGGAAGAAACCAAAAACTAAATAAATAAACTATGCACAAAAATAGTACGTTACAACAAAAGAAGGCAAAGTATTTTCAAATCAATAACCAAAAAAATATGAGTGTGACGAAAAAGACGAAAAAGAGAAAACGAATTGGGTAAATCAGATGTTTTCTTTTTTTAATCAAAGGGAAACATTTTTTTTTAAATCCTTTCATCCTAAATAAGGCGATAATGACACTAAGATGCAAGGCGTAACGATGAGTAAAAGAGATTGAGAATACCCCAGTGAGGGGAAAGGACACTCAAGGTACAATTTTCAGGAAGACAGAAGATGGCGATTAGCACCAAAGAGGAACTGAAGGCAATGATTATGGTAGCATTCACCAATTTAAACAAGGAAACTGTCTAGAGATGATTTTCAGGAGATTCTGAACTTGTCTGAAGTCTGTGGTTGAAGCCAGTGATGATTTTATTGAATAAATTTACTCTTTCGTATTTAAAGATTTTTTTGTGTAATTTTGGTAATTATATTTGATAAATTGAAATGTCAGTATTGTTTTCATTTTTACTTGATTAAGACAATTTATATATCACATCAGATAAAGCGTAAGATACGGACTACGAATAGCAGATATCAAAATGAAAGATTTACAAAAACAAAGACAGAAAAAAGAAAAATGAAGTGAAGAAGAGAAAAAGACAACAAAACAGAAAGAAAAATAAGAAAGCGAAAAAAAATGAATGAAGGAATGCTTTGATTATTCGTAAAAGAAAGTATGAAGTGTGGAAAGAAAGAAAGAAAGAAAGAAAGAAAGAACCACTTGCAATCAGGAAAAAGTATAACGTATAGTCAAAGACAAAAAAAGAAAGAAAGAAAGACAGGAAGGAAGGAAGGTTGGAGGGAAAATGAAAAAGAGTAAGTTTAGATGTTTGAAATGCAACTGGAATAGAAAGAAAAGAAGAAAGAAGGAAGAAATGGAGAAAGAAATGAAAGGAGGAAGGAAAAGAAAGAAAGAAAGATTAGATAATAAGCTAATAATGAGGTGTAGAAGGAAACATAGTTCGAAAGAAACGCAAAAAAAGAAAGGAAGAACAAAAGAAAGAAAGAAAGTAAGGAAAAAACAAAGAAAGAAAGAACAATTTGCAATGTAAAAAAAGTAGAAAGTGTAGAAAACGGCCAATATATGAATAAAAAAGAGAAAAAAAAGAAAGTCAATACGGAAAGAAAAAATGAAGAAAAGAATGAAGGAAGGAAGGAAAAAGAAAAAAAGAGAAATGTTAGATGTTTGGCATGCAATTGGAATATACCATTATCTCATATAGTGTGTTGGATCTTTAGGCATTCACTCAAGTGTCGCCTGCTGCAATACTAAAGTATGTAAATGTAAAAAAATAACGACAGAAAAAGAAGAACTATCAAGAAAGTAATAAAAGAAAAGTTAATAGATTAATTGACCTGAGAAAGGAATAAAAACAAGCAAAAAAACAATAAAGGGATAAAAAGAAATATAAACAATGAAGAATATACGTGAAGGAAGGCGGAAAACAGATGAACGAAAGAAGAAATAAAGAATGATGGAAAAGAAGAAAAAGTAGCAAAAACAACTTATGAAATAGAAAACAGTAAAAACTATGCCATTAAAAAGAAAAAAAATAGAAAGGTTTTGAATACATATAAAAAACAATCAATAATAAACAGAAGAAAAGATGAAAATGAAATTAATCAATGGCATTTCATTGAGTTAATAAAATGTGTTTAAAAAAAATGGAAGGAAAAAATGAAATATAATGAAAACCAAAACGAGGCTAAGGAAAAGAAAAAGGAATTACTCTAACAATAATGACGAAGAATAACTAACAGAGAAAAATGGAAGACAAAAGTAAGAGAGAAATAAAAGAAAACGCTATGAAAAGGCCCCCCCCCCAAAAAAAAGAATAATAAAACAGCTAAATTGCGGAGAGGAAAGGAAAATCTAATGAAATAGAAAGACGAAGAAAAGGAATGTAACGATTAAGAAAAAGAAAAAAAGGAGCTGCCTTGAAGAAAAAGATAAGAGAGAAGAACAAACGATTAAAAAAAATAAGAAACGAATATAAAATATTAAAAGAAAGAATTTGAAAATAACAAATGAAAGAGCTCTTCGAAAATAGCGAGAACAAAGATAAATTGACAGAGAGTGGATTTAGACAAAGCGAAAAGAAAGAAACTGTATGAAAATTAATTGAGAAAGCAGGAGTGCATTTGCGGGCGTAAGAATTCAACGATAGTTGGGGTGAATGATGAGTGGAAATTCTAATTTCTCCAGCGACTCAGTCCGCTGTCGTCACAACTGTGTTTTCTAAAGGCAGTGTAGGACAGTGGGCGCATTCTAATGTGACAAGGAATATACATACATGAGTGAGAGCACACACACACACACACACACACACACACACACACACACACACACACACACACACACACACACACACACACACACACATACATACATCTATCTATCTATCTTAATCTATATAGGTATCTATTGGAATCTGTCGCTATATATATATATATATATATATATATATATATATATATATATATATATATATCACAGTATATTTATTGCAGTCGATTTATCTATCTCTCTGTCTATATATCGCAATCTGCTTATTCCAATCTATCTATCTATCTATCTATTTATTTATCTATCTATCTTTTGCAGTTCATATATATGTATCTATTGCAATCTCTCGCTATAGATATATCTATCTATCCCAATCTATTTATTGCAATCGATTTATCTACCTTTCTGTCTACATATCACAATCTGTCTATTACAATCTGTCTATTTAGTGCAATCTATCTATCTATCTATCTATCTATCTATCTATCTATCTATCTATCAGAACAACAACATAATCTATCTATCTATCTATCTATCTATCTATCTATCTATCTATCTATCTATCTATCTATCTATCAGAACAACATCCTAATCTATCTATCTATCTATCTATCTATACGTTTTCTCTTTGCTTCCTCACCACTTTCTATCACTATAAATTTCTCCTCCCCATCAACTTAAACAAACATTTATTTTCCCTTCTCTCACTATGCATATTGATAGAAACATACAGAGAGAGAGGGGGAGGGAGAGAGAGAATCGGAGCGAGTGTGAGTAAGAAGGATAACTAAAGAAATCCGTATTTAATTTCCACACACATATTCAAGTACATTATCAGATACACGCAGACGGACGCACACATTCGTGTATACACATACATCCTAAGTCAGATATAAAGTGATTTTCGTAGCCTGACTAAGATGCGGCATAACACCGAAACTATGGGACACTCATTGAGGATCGAACTCACTCGTAACTGATCTAGTAAGAAAAACTTTCTCACCACTGCACGACGTCGAGGTGCTCCCCTAACTCACATATATATGAAAAGACAAATCTACAAAGATAATGGATGAGGACAAAATGAATGTTTTCGAAAAAAATTATGAATACCAAATGATCGATCTATCGATCGATCGATCGATCTATCTATCTATCTATCTTAGTGTGTTCATATCTATCTACAGCAGTTCATAACTATCAATCGACTAATCTCTCTTAGTTCATATCTATATCTATCTATCTATCTATCTATCTAAGTGTGTTCATATCTATCTATATCAATTCATACCTATCAATCGACCCATCTCTCACAGTTCATATCTATCTATCTATCTATCTATCTATCTATCTATCTATCTATCTATCTATCTATCTATCTAAGTGTGTTCATATCTATCTATATCAATTCATACCTATCAATCGACCAATCTCTCACAGTTCATATCTATCTATCTATCTATCTATCTATCTATCTATCTATCTATCTAGCTATCTAGCTATCTATCTGTGTTCATATCTATCCATATCAATTCATACCTATCAATCGACTAATCTCTCACAGTTCATATCTATCTATCTATCTATCTATCTATCTATCTATCTATCTATCTATCTAGCTAGCTAGCTATCTAGCTATCTAGCTATCTATCTAAGTGTGTTCATATCTATCCATATCAATTCATACCTATCAATCGACCAATCTCTCACAGTTCATATCTATCTATCTATCTATCTATCTATCTATCTATCTATCTATCTATACGTTTTCTCTTTGCTTCCTCACCATTCTCTATCCATATAAATTTCAATTCCCCCCCATCAACTTAAACAATTTCCTTTCCATCACTATGCATTTCTCGCTCCTCCTTGGCTTTTCTGTAATTATTCTTCGCAAATAAATGCCATCCGTGAATGACAATGTTTTTAAAAAGCAGTTAACGAACTGAGCGAAAGAAAGACGACGACGACAAAACACTCAATATATAAAAATATCCTACAATTTGCAATTATGGAATTTATATACAAGGAGGGGCTGATAAATTTTCGAAATGACACTCGTTCAAAAATCAGAATTTTGGTCTTTGGACGCTGAGAGTGCACCAGACTGAGAAAAAAATCAGCACGTATATTTTTTTTTTTATATGTATTTAATTGCAGTTGGATAATGTCTGGATATATTTCTACTCGTATATTTGTTTCTTTTCTCACCCTCTTCTTTCCTTACTTCCCTTCCCCTAGGAGACACAGGATTTAGGCTGTTAGATGTATCTATGCAAATATATATACAAACATATATATATATATATATATATATATATATATATATATATATATATATATGTGTGTGTGTGTGTGTGTGTGTGTGTGTGTGTGTGTGTCTTTTGTGTGACTGCGTTTGGATATGTGTCTGTAAATATTTCTCTTTCTCTCTCTCTCTCTCTCTCTCTCTATATATATATATATATATATATATATATATATTTAGAGAGAGAGAGAGAGAATCGGAGCGAGAGTGTGAGTAAAAAAGGATAAATAAATAAATACGTACTTAATTTCTACGCACATATTCAAGCACGCTATTAGATACACACAGGCGTACGCACGCATTCGTGTATACATATACATCCTAATTCAGATATAGAGTGATTTTCTAAGATGTGGCTCAAGGACGAAAGTATAGGGTACTCAGTGAGAATCGAACTCACACGTAATTAATCTAGCAGGACAAGCTTTCTAACCATAACACCACGTCGAGGTGCCCCCTAACTTACATATACATGAAAAGAGAAATCTACAAACATAATGGATGTGGACAAAATGGATGTTTCCGAAAAATCTATCTATTCCAAATGATCTATCTATCTATCTATCTATCTATTTTAGTGTGTTCATATCTATCAATCAACCAATCTCTCTCAGTTCATATCTATCTATCCATCTATCTATCTATCTATCTATCTATCTATCTATCCTTCTATCTAATCGATAGCTAAAACATCTACCAAGTTTACAGTTGATCCACAAATCTCCAAATTTAACTATCAACCTTCGGCTTCGCCGATGATGGCAATGATTTTTTCTTATTTATTGTCTGACGAACCGATATTCATTTTCGTCAATCTATTAATAGCCAGATATTTTTGGCAAACAATCGATATCTTTAGAATATACGCATATATTTCTCAATACATACGCGTACACTGATCAGCTGCATGGCTCGCTAACACACACACACACACACACACACACATATATATATATATATATATAGATAGATATATAGATGTACACAGATACTGATTAGGTTAGACTGAAATAAAAGATTCACATATATATATATATATATATATATATATATATATATATAATATATATATATATATATATATATATATATATATATATATATATATATATATATATATATATATATATATATATATATATATAAATTGACATGGATATGATAGATAGATATATACTAAGCATAGTTAGGCGGCGGAGGAAGCGAGAACTCCCCGCCGGACTGCCTTCGCCGCTATACCTCTCCCTACGACGTATGAGAGTCAGACCACTCAGTTCCTAGGAACCAACAGCCAGACAACCTGCACATGCTGTGTTCGGGAAAATAAAGCATCTCTGTAACCTTAAAAACATACATACAACCCACACATCCAATTAAACTGAATAAGTAATATCATCTTTGATAATGTCTAAAAGTATAGCCAAAAGCAGTCGGAATTATAGAACATTTCGACAGCTTCTACACACTCTGCAGCCAAAAAAGAAAACACTTGATCGAACGCAAGAAAAATTAAATTAAAAACCTTAATTATATTGACATGGCTATCGTCTTTAATCACACGCACATACATACATACACACATACACACTAACAAATACACACACAATAAATATAGTTTTATATACATAGTTATGGGATATACACTTATGGGATAAAGTGCTCGATATCAGAGATAGAGCGTATGTAACTATAAATATAAAAGTGAATTGTGAAGTCAAGACTCGGAGGCGACAGACTGTTTCATGCGAAACGCAATCATCATGCGTTGTTTTTTCTCGTCTAGCTATATATAGGGTTCAGTGGTGCATGGCGGATAATCTATTCTAACGGTTATTTTGGCGGGATCGGCTTGTTAATTTGTTTATTATTTACTTTATTTATTTATTTGGATTAATTTAATTTAATTGATTTTGCTTATTTATTTTTATTTATTTTTTCAGTTTTCAATTTTTAAGTAACATATTAAAAATTTGTTTTCGTGTCTGCATTTTTAGATGACTTCGGATCGTTTATTTAGTAGTCTGTTTTTTGTCTGGAAAGGTAAATATGGGTATGTTTTCCTCCAAGCAGAGTTTGAAGTCTTTGAATTGATTGTTGCAGGTTGATGTTCATTTCCTTATTTTCCATTATATTTTTGGTGTGATGTGCTTTTTGTTTTCAATTTCCAAGATATAGCATTGGAAAGCATTGTGCTGTTCGCATATTTACTATTTGTGAAAGGCGTTTTGTGTGCGTAGTTTCTTTGTTTCCAGGGTTATCCAGTTACTCCTATGTATATGTTCGTTATCTGATGATTTTAACGTGGCTTGGTATATTACATTGTTTTTTTAAACATCCACTGTGCTCAAATGTGGTGTATACTGCAACTGTGCTGAGCTGATCGATATAGTTAACTGGGCGAGATCGCATCATCTGACGTGAACAACAGTTTGCTCACCCGAGTACACTCAAACCCTCAGTCCCGGTGATATGAAACTTCGTGCTGTGACAACCATTGACGACCAGTTTCGCTCACAATGCATGGGTCAAAGCGTGGTATGGTTTTCAGACAATTTCGCGCTGGTATGGCATCTCCAAGCTTATACCTTCAAGAAGACACTTCTTGATGACAACGGTTAGATTCGACGCCTGCTCTCACGGTTGGAAAAATTGTACTTACTAGAAAACGCTACTATGCTTATATAAATTTAATAAAGTATTAGAAAATGAATATGATTTAAGAGTCACTCAGTTTTCGTCGTTGCCGACGAGGCCAGTGTTCAGGAACTCATTTCCTGATTTCATAAATGAATATTCAAATATGCAGGCTGTAATTAACTGATGTTACATAATGAGCAGATTTTTATGATTTTTACGCCAACAGCGAGAAAAGCCGTCAACAATGGAACTTGAATAGATGATTTGTATCTCTCAGATCAGTTATAACTTCGTATGTTTCATTAATGTTGCGTTGCAACTTAATTTAGATTAGATTAGATTGGGTGAGCCCGTGCCGTGAGAAATTGTTTGGGGATTGTGGTTGCTTAACGCTGCTCTTATTAATACCATTTTTTGTTTATACATATTTCTTTCTTTCTGTTATATATATATATATATATATATATATATATATATATATATATATATGTGTGTGTGTGTGTGTGTGTGTGTGTGTGTGTGTATATATATATATATATATATATATATATATATATATATATATTTGGGGAATAAAAATATGGGATCATATTAAGCATAGGATACAACAGTATTCGCGTTTAAAACATAAAATGTAAGGCGCCTTTCGACCGACACATTTTCAAACATAATCGTCGGTAATCTAAAACAGAGTACTAACAAGAAAAAAACTTTTTTATTAATACTGTAATAAAAGAAGATCCTAAGTGGTGGGGGTAAATTATTTTACCTCAAATCAACATACGTAGGCCGGCCCTCTGCACACAACGTGAGATGAAGTTTAAGTTGGCCTTATATAGGGGAACATGATTTGAGGTAAAATAATTTTTTTTTTCCCCCACTTACCATCTTGTTTTATTACGGTATTAATAAAAAAGTTCCTCAAATGTCTGATTAGATTTGGCAGTACGAGAAATCTGTTTAAATACATATATATATATATATATATATATATATATATATATATATTTTCACTCCAAGCAAGGCGGGAGGCCACTAGTACAGAGGGGGTTACAAAGTGGGAGCGAGAGTATAAAGAGGTATGATGGAAAAAAGGATGAAGTGAAGGGCAGGGGATAGTTCTGGCGATGTCGATTGATATTACATTTGAACAGTTGGAGAATATAGCTATCAGGGAAACAAATAATAGGAAGTGAATTCCACAGACGGGAAGTACGAGAAATGAAGCCATTGGAGTAGAAGAGACACGTCAGTTTATCCCTCGCACATTCTCTCTCATATATTTCGCACTTTCGATCTTTTTCCAAGATCATCTTCAGGGTTGCAAGTGGTACAAAACAACATGTTGGTCATTTGCATAAGTATTTATATAAAGATGTGCGTTGTTATCCATTATAGTAATTTTTTTCATTATGCTTTTTATATGCAACACGGTTGACAATGTGCTGAGCGTTCATTAGAACGTGAAAAAATTATCCGTTATGAATTTTTTTTCCTCTAAATTAGAATGTGATAGTATTCATAGTTGATTATAGAAAAGAAACTGTTTGTATAAAACTTACCGCTACATTTAATCAGCTCCTGTCTAAATTGATATTACCGCAACAAAAGCCCTGTGCTGCACTTAAAGTCAAAAGTTTAGGTACCATAGCGAAGCGCTCATCCGAACAATTCCCATGAAA